CATGCCATAAATTAAAATTCTGACAAAAGAAGTCCTGATGTTCTTTAGTTCTTAAATGCACCTCACTTCTGTGTAGAGCTAGGGAGCTGGGGCTCGAGGGTGTAGGAACAGGAGCATTGAGGTTGTTGCAAGCTGAGACCTGCTTAGGTGAAACCACCGTATTAGCAAGGGCCTTGCTCCCTTCCCAGGCCCTTTCTCACCAGCCACCTCTCTGTCCCCTGCAGACAGTGGTTCAGATGGAAGGCAATAATAAGCTGGTGACAACTTTAAAAAACATCAAGTCCGTGACTGAACTCAACGGCGACACAATGACCAATGTAAGTTGGCACTCTGAGCTTTCAGCTCCTAGGGCTTGAGGGAGGAGAGGAGAAGTGTGAGGAGCAGCTCACACACCCCATCCCCCCACCCCTGCACGCCCATCCCCAAACGCCTGCCTTTCCTATTGTCCATACCTGCTACCACTTACTGCAGATCCATAATGTATCAGGCAGCTTATACACATTATTGATAATCTTCCCAACAGCCCTGAGTTTTCTAAGTGGAGAAACTGGGCCAGGACCCCTGTGAACCAGCTCTGTCTCATGGAGCTGCCAGCCACAGTGTTCACTACACCAGCCCTCGGGGGAGCCACTCACATTCTAGACAGTGTAGATTTGTATACTTACTACAGTCTTGTTCTAACAAAGCCAGTGTGGTGGATTAGGATAATTTTCCAGCAGAGAGACATATAGTGTGTTAAGGAAGAGACAACCTTTTCTAATGCACCAAAGGCACCCCTGTGCCGGTGGTGGCCCCTCCTGGTGTTTCCCTACTTCTCCTGGTTCCCCACACTGGCTGTCCCTCACCACACTCTCCTAGTCAGAGTCAGCCCTTCCTACTCCCTTCCCTTCTCATTGCCCACTCCCCAGCTGCTCTCCCATTTCTTGACAACATCCAAATGGGATGCAGTAGGAGAGGTGCCTGGTAGGACGTGCAGAGACACCAGCACAGGTCACCCTTTTCAGTCTCTGCTGGGATTCAGCCACAAGACTCGCCCACAGGCTAGAGGGCAGAAATCCATTCAATCCGCAGGCATCCACGGAGCTCTCCTGGGGGCCTCAGCGATTCATGGAGCAGCCCTTCCCATTGTGTGGCACCCACACACAAGGAAGGCTTTATTTGGCCAAAACTTCAGTTCCTAGAAAATAGCTTTTTCTATTTTATGAGGTCATGGTAATGCATAGCCATAACCCTTCCCTTCTGCCTCAGCACTAACCGATGAACCACAGGGGCCTCCATCTGCCTTGCAAGCCCAGGTGCTTAATAAATGCCATTGCTCATTTGGCATTATAAGGAGAATCACATTCTTCGTGAGACTGTGGCAGCTTACAAGCGGGGCACAGTCCGGTTGTGCAGTCATCCTCGGGGCCTGTCTGCCGGCCAGGTCCTGTCCTCAGTTCAGGAGTGAACAGTGCAGTGTTTCTCCTTCAGTAACGTGCCCCTGGCTCCTCTTTGCGCCCAATATGATTTATGGAGTCACAGGAGATTGGACACTGTCCAGGGGGCTGTCAGCACCCTGCTCAAGTGGAAAAATCCTTCAACTAGTGAGTGTGAGCATCAACCACAAAATGTGTGAAGCCCACTCAAGCCAAGCGTGCAGGAGGGGGCAGGAGACGAGCTGTCCTGGACTGAGTCCTGGCCAACGTCCTTTGATACACTCCGTCTTGCCTAATCCTCTTGTCTCCTGTGATGGAGGCAGGATGAAGAATTCAACAGAGAGGTTGACCTGCCCAAGGCCATCCACTAGTAGGTGGTAGAGCCAGGGCTGGAACCCATTAAGCAGCAACCATTCCATTGCTGCTAAAGCTAGGGGTCTCCTTTTCACCCTGACCACATGCAATGTCATTAAAGCAGTCTTATTCAGACAACCAGCAGGGGTGGAGGAAACATCCCTCAACAAGCCTAAAGCTGATGGGTCCAATGTTTTTGTATATTTCACAGCTTTAGGAGAACAATTATGCAATGCCCACTGTGTTCCAGGCTAGGTGCCTAGGTGGTTCCGTGTACACGTATCCTTGGTGCCCAGCATGTATTTGTTGACTAGTAGACATTCAATGAAACTTTGAGAAGTTCGATTGGATTGGGCTGGTTTGGATGGTTTTGCTATAACAGCTGTTGATGTAGGGAGGATTTCAGCCAAAGGGAGGACAACTCTCCATGTGAGGAAGTGAAGCAAAGACTATTGGGCATAGGATTTATGAAAGAATTGCCAACCCTTCCCCAGTCCTATAGAAAACAAAGGAATATTTGAGTTGTCTCATATGTTAGCATATTTGGGGCTATTTTGTAAGCTTTTTGTTTTGTTTTGTTTTTACAATTCAACATGAGCATTTCATGATTTCTTTTCTGGCTTTCAGACCATGACATTGGGTGACATTGCCTACAAGAGAATCAGCAAGAGAATTTAGACAAGTCAGCATTTCATATTCTTTTACTGTCCAAAGTTAATGTAATAAAGTGAACTTTGTTTTAAAAATATCTTTTCTTCTCAATGGCTTTTCATCGACAGTGCTATTGGCGTCAGTGAGCACAGATCACCTAGGTCCTTGTGAACCTTGATAACCCGAATGTTCCATTCTACAGGTCAGGTCTGAAAGGTAATTCTCACTGAAAGGTAATTCTGACTCTGAATACAGAACCCATGCTGCCCACTCAGGCCTTCCTGCCAGGAACACCAGGTGTGGCTGGATCTGCAGGGCGGCCCTGGAATTTCCTTTTCCAGTCACATGGGCGAGGGGCATTTTATC